AATGCGTGGGCCACGGCCCGGGCCCGGGCCCCGCGCCCAGGAGGCCACACACACTCTGCGCGAAGCCCACCGACTCCGGGCGCCCGGACAGGAGCAGCAGCACGCGCGCCGCGGCCATAACGTGGCTCTGTCGCTGCGGCCCGCTCGGCGCCCTCTGGTGGCCCAGAAGCGCCTCCCCTCGGTCTGCGGGGTGGGAAGGAAGCCAGGCTTCCCCAACGTCCCCGGAAATTCAGGCCTAACACTTGGGGATGAGATATAGGTGTAATGTTAACAAATGACAAAAAGGAGAACCCCCCAGGAGACCCCCTCTAAATTCTCGGCTCCTCTTCTCTTCCCATTTCTGTGTTTAGGACAATGATCCCCAGACCGAATGACTTCTGGACTCACTTGTCACCTCCCACCAGTCTAACTCTAAGCACACCTCCACAGCACTCCGCCCACCTGTTACAGCAGGTATGGCCTGGAATTAATTCGATCTGTCTCCTAACCAGACACCCAGGAGATTCTGAACTGCCCGCCCCCCATTCTCACGCAAATGGCAACCAAGGGCAGCAGATTCTACCTCCTTAAACTTTTTCAGATCCACGTCTTACTCTCCAGCCTCCATTGGACTAATTCAAGCCTTCCTCATATTCTGCCCGAGATGTGGCAAGTCTCCATATAGCCACTAATTTGTTCTCTACAGTGCTGTCAGTGATCTTTCTAAAACACAAATCTGATCATTTTGCTTCTCATCGCTCTCAGGATAGAAGCTCCTTAACACACTGCAGGAAGGACGCAGCAGCCCCTGTCCCTGCCTGTCTTCCAGCCTCAGTTCTGGCCGGATTCATGCCCTATTTCCTAGTCACACCCTATCTGCAGTTCCCTCAAGAACCAGGCTCTCCTTTCCACTGGGATCCTTTCCCCCTTCCACCCGGCAAATTCCCATCTTTCAAACGACAGATCGTCACTTTTCTCTGTGCTCCCTTTCCTGCCCGACCTTTTCCCCTGTGGCCTCTCGATATATTCTACTATCCGCCATGGCCCTCCAATACTTCTTTGTATTTAGCTGACTCATCCCACCAGGCTGTATGCTCAAGGCTTAGTCATCTTTGTGTCCTTAGGGCCTGGCCCAGTACTGGGCACATAATAGGTGCTCAGTAAATGATGGTGAATGGCTTGGCGGCAGAGATGCTATCTTATTTATTTTTTGTATTATACTTAATATAGTGGCTAGCAATTAATTGGCACTCAAATGTTAAATGAACTAGAGAGAACATTAGTAGAAAGAAACCACAGATTATAAAACTGCTTTAAATGAAATGAAGCTGCTGTGACAAATTACATGAACGATATTAACCACAGTCCTGAGAAAAAACTTAAGAGGTTGTTTTAAGGAACCATGAAGAGCAGGGCAATGATTTGTTACTTATCAAACGTGGGGCATTATGCTAAGTGTTCTACATACATAATTTCAGATGTGCTAGAAGCCTAGAGCTAGCTAATGTGGCTTCTAGCCATAGACTCTAGTGTGATTGAGCCAATCCATCTGAAAGCCCTAAAAATAGCTTTTCAGCCCCCCTTGGTGGTAGTCTTTCACATTCCCTATGCCAGGGGTCCCCAACCCTCGGGTCACAGACTGGTACCAGTCTGTGGCCTGTTAGGAACCAGGCTGCACAGCAGGAGGTGGGCGGCAGGCTAGTGAGTAAAGCTTCAACTGTATCTGCAGCCGCTCCCCAGCGCCAGCATCACTGCCTCAGCTCTGCCTCAGATCATCAGGCGTTAGAGTCTCATAGGAGCACCGGTCCCTGGTGCCAAAAAGGTTGGGACCACTGCCCTACATAGTGTGTGTGTTTCAGATTACAGGGGAACAAAGAATAGCTGTCTTTTGAAAATGGAACGACCTGCTTAAGAAGTTTCTTCCATTGCCAAGGATGTTCACCCACGGGCTGGGCTGACTTCGTGGTGGGAACTGATGCATCTGATAGATGATTAATCTAATTGATTTTAAGGTTCTTTATCCTGCCAAGATTTGAGGAGGAAAGAATATAGTGCTGGGTTGAAGACAGGATCAGCAAATTTAAAAAAATATGCCAAACTCTTTCTGGTGTATTCTAGGTGGTCGGATACAGCTTCTGTACAAGATTCTGTTACTTATCCCACTGCCAAGAATGCATCCAGGCACCTCCTTTATTTTTTCTTCCAATCCCCCAGATCTTTTAAGGAACATCCTTCTTCTGGGTCATTATCTCTTCATGGTACTCTCGATGTATGACTCCAGCAGGAAGATAGTTTCATCCACCTGGATCTCACTGGCATCCAACCTGAGTGGAAAAGTGAAAGCATCTGCCCAGACTGAACATCCACTAGCACATCCTGGGTGTGGCCAGGGAGAACTGTTTGCTTATCCTTGACAGTAATGGCTAGAAAGCAGGAGATCATTCTCCCATTTACTGAGCATCTCTTATATGCCAAACACTGTGGAAACTGCTGAGGACTCAAAAGATACAGCCTTTGTCCTGAGAGAAGTCACAGTCCAATGTGCAACCAGGAGAAAGACTAGCACGTTTAAAGGCACAGGTGTAAAAGGACCTAGTATGTTTTCAAATAGAAGCTGAGAGTGGCTGAGGCTGATTAGGAGCAGAAATAGAAGGGAACTTCCTCAACACGACTTAAGCCGCCTGTGAAAACCCCACAGCCAACATCACGCTGATGGTGGAAGACCAAAAGCTTTCCCCCTAAGATCAGGAACAAGACAAGGGTGTCTGCTTTTCACTTCCATTCGACCATTTCCTGGAGGTTCTAGCCAGGGCAACTAGGTAAGAAAAAGAAATAAAAGGCATTCGGGTTGAAAAGGAAGAAGTAGAACTATTTCTAGTCATAGACAACATGATCCTATATATAGAAAAATCTCAAAGGATCTGCAAAAAAAAAGGACTAGAGTCAATAAATTTAAAAGTTGTGGGATATAAAATTAAAACACAGAAATTAGTTCTATTTCTATACACTAGCAATGAATGATTCAAAATGAACTTAGGAAAATGCTAAAATAGCATCAAAAAAGAATAAATTTAACAAAAGAACTGCAAGACTTGAATACCAAAAATGACAAAACATCATTGAAAGAAGTTAAAGACCTAAATAAATGGACGGGCCTCCCCTGTTCATGGGTTGGAAGATTTAATACCGTTAAGGTGGTAATATTCCCCAAAGAGATCTGCGAACTGAAAGCAATTCCTATTGAGGCGCCTGGTAAGGAGTAAAAAGAAAAGATGGAGACAGGCAACTACGAAACTGTAAAAGGCTCTATATGTCACGCCAAGGAGTCTGGTCTTTGTACTGCAAATATAGGAGTTAATAAAGCATTGAAAGTAGGAGAGTGATACTATCAACCATTTTAAAGATAATAACTTTGAGAACATGTAAGAGATGGTTTGAAAGGGGAGGCGATTGTGAAGATCTAAGAAAGAGGTGATTAAGGCCTGCATGGGGACCAGGGTGCAAGGCCAGATTAGAGACACATTCCTGAAGTAAATTCAGTCACCTCGGTGAACAGGAGTGTGTGGTGGGGGAGGAGGAGCTGAGAATGTCTTCAGTTTTTAGCTTTGGAAAATAGGTGGAGTAAATTCTGTCAACTGAGCTGGAAAAGAAGACAGCGAGTTTAGGTTTGCTCGTGTTAAGTTGGAGGGGTTGCAGGATGTTGAGGTGGATTTGTCTAGAATGTAATTTGAAACAGGTTTGAAGCGCATGATGCTTACTTGTTGACATTACGTTTCAGGGTCTCTAGCTGCTGGCGTTCAGGGGCTGTGATCATCTCTTCTATTTCTTGTAGCTGTGCCTCCTCTGCGCCTGTAGCCTGCATAGACGCGATGATGGCTTCTACCCGCTGAGACTTTTCTAGTAGACGCCTGTCAGACAAACACAGCTCTGAGGCCTGTCCCCTAGCCTCGGAGATTCTTCTACCCTTGAGCCCTGGGACATAACCCCCCTTTTACCACGTTCCTGGTCAAAGTGGATAATGCCCTTCTCCAAGGATGTTTTCTGCAAACTTAATTAGAAGTGTGACTTCACTCCTGAAACTCTCACTGCCTCTCACTTGCACTTTAAGTTTGGTGCCAGTTTGTACATTTCTCATGAATTTAATCCACAAAGTTATTTTATTGGCAGTATATTAGAAAAGTGTAGAGTAATGCATGATTTATGCCAACCTAAGCCAACAATTCAAGGCAACTAGCCTGGTTATTGTTTCTTGGTTTCTATTTCTAGAGGAAGCTTCCCCGCAAGCCTTTGACCTTGAAAAATGTACTTAATTACTCAACTAAAAATGCTACTCACTTGTTCTCTTTGGTTTCGAATTGCCTCCTTTCTATCAAGTTGGCTATGCTCTGAGGAGAGAGAAGATAGACAAGAAATGCATATAATTCTATTTCTATTTAAGTAGCTCAGGTAAAATGGCGAAAGAGGGGCATGAGGGTGTGACTTGTCTGTGCGGAAGGGGTGGGGGGAGGGCCAGGAGTTACCTTGTAACACCTGTGCAGCAACATTCGGGCAGCTGACAAGATGCTCACTGTATATAAATAGAAGGTCCTGGATGGGGCATGGTCTGGTGTTTTGGGAATTTCCTATTTGTCCATAGAAAGAAAAATAAGAAAAATTATACTGTTCTTCACAACTGGCAAAGTAGACACTTGTCCCGTACGGAGCTACTTAGCCCCCTTGTTCACATATACTTTCCTCTCCCACAGTCATCCAGCATCTGTGTTTATGACATAATCAGCCATGCGGAGAGTTGGGCTGCCCATTTTTTCCCCATCCTGAGTGGGGAAGAAAGAGAAGGCAACTCACATTTACTGAGCAACTCTTCGATGCCAGGTAGCTTGTACTGAATCTTTATGACAAACCACGTAATACCACCATCTATTACCATTTTATAGACAGGAAAAATGACGGTGAAGAATCTGCTCAGTGTAACTGGATAAGAGGTAGAACTGTGATTCTGACCCCAAAATCCATTCTATCCATTTCCTCATAGATACTTTTGATAGATTTAATCTGTAATAAACTTAAGGCTTAAGAAAGGACAAATCGCAGGGACTAAAAGCTATAGAAAAAGGGTAGGGTGATTCTGGGGTGATATCTTGGCGGTCCTCTTTCTTTACTAGGCCAGTTAAAGCGCCACAATTATCTTTCAAGTGCTTTCTATGTCTTTGTTAATCTTCTCTTCTGTCTCAGAGCTGGGCGAAGAGTTCGCTTGAGGTTCAGGGTGTTTGCCTCAGGAGTTTCTCTCACTCTACACCAGCTCTGCTGGTTGGTGATCTTGACACCAATGGTTACCTGGAGTGATATGAAATTTTCTGAGAGCATCTTATAAAGCATATCCTTTGCCTCCTTTGCTGGAATCATTGCAAAGTCTTCTACTTGCTTCTGCTCCAGGTGTTTCTTTTGCAAAACTAGACGGAATATTCTGGCACAGCGAGACCCAAATCTGGAAAGGAATGAAGAAAGCAAATGGCATACCAATGTAGATTAGCTTTAGCTCCGAGGCTCAGATGGCAGTTGCTGTGTTTCCATGTGTTGAGCCAGGAGCAGAGCCAGGAGCAGAGCGAAAGGGTGATCGGAGCATCTTTCACAGCTCCACAGGCTGGTGACGGTCCTGCTGATCTAAGGTAGTCACCGACTGCCGAGGCACTTGAGTGCCTCAGTTCCTGCGCTGGGAAGTAAAGGCTTTAGGAAGGCTGGTTTAGTGGCATCACTGGGAATTAAGCAGGAGGATATTTAGGGTGGAGAGTAGTAGTAGATGGGATCCACGGCAGGCTGGGGGAAAACGGGCCAAGCTGTGCCAAGGTGCACCTATGTTGGTTGTTTACATAACGATCAAATTACTCATTCGAATGGGGCGTGGAAAGGACGTGTTGGACCCCCACCCCAGTCGGGGGGACCCCCTTACCTCTCCTGGACGACTGACTCCAGTGTGGCTGTGGCTAGGGATCCTAGAGCCTTATGCAGGTCTTTATGTAGAGAATTAAGGTCACTCAGTAACGTTCTGGCCCGGGCACTGTGATCTTAGTTTTGTTCCCAAGTCTCTAATTTAAAATTTAAATGTTATTTTGTTTTTCACATTGGTCTCATTTATGTTTTATAAACATTTCAAAACCTTAATTAACTAAGGTGTTTATGTCAGGAATTTGCTTAACTAAAATTTACTTCTTTATCATTAATGTATTAATTCAGTTTTCTAACATATTTAGTATCCTAAATATTATCAAATCTGTTTCATAGTCTGGCTGCCTGTGAGGAAATGGCCGGTAAGGATACTGATGACATACATTCCGCCGCCACTGTCGCCAGACTTTCCAACAAACTCTAGCTGTTAAAAAAGAGAGAGAGAGACAGAGAGGGAGTTAACTGAATAGAAACTGGTTCTGTTTCCGAAGAAGCAAATCTGGCCAAGAGTCTGCAGCAGGTGACCCTCCTCTCGGAAGATGGTGGAGAAACCGTCTGAGTTGGTTCGGTAGAGAACGAGGGTTCGGCAGAACAATGCCAGGTATCAGTGGCAGAAATAAATCACGAATACAGCAGAAAAGAGAAGTAAACAAACAAAAAAGCCGAAACAGACTTACTGGATCATCTGCCAACAGAGTGAGATACTGATCAAGAACCTGCTTAGCGATGTTATAGCCAACAGGTAGGGATCTGAAGATCTACGGAGAAGAAACAGTGCAAATGGGTTTGGGAACTTCAAATTGCTGATGTTACTGAAATAAAGATGTTTTCACTTTAGATACCACAGGTATGAAAACGTCCAAAAATACAGTAGGGTTGTTTGTAAAAGTAAAAATCTAGGAATCGTCCAAATGTCTAATAATAAGGAATTAAAATAAAGTACAAAATAGCTGTTAGGTGGAATATGACATGGCCATTATAAAGAATAAGACAGATTTATAGATACTGACATGAAAAGGTTTACATTATACTGTCATGAAAAATGTAAGTTGAGAACAGTATAGAGAGTATAATCTATTTTTTTGGTTAAAAAATATACATATACCTATATAAGTGTGAAATGATACATTAAAAAGAGATCTTAATAAAGATAAGTATCGAACTATTAACAGGGATCTCTGGGGTTGGGATTATGCGCAACTATATATATATATCTAAACTGAGATACGTTATATATGATAAGAAGCACAAGTTAAGGGTTCAAGCTGAGTGCTGACGATTGTATATATGCATGTAACTGCCACCCACAATAAGATATAGAATACAGCCAACATTCCTGAAAGTTTGGGGAACTACAACTTTTAAAAAACTATACATTTCTATGCTGTTTGAATATAGTCATGTAATTGCTTTTGTCATCAGAAAAAAACTGAAATTTTTGTTTGTAATAAGTTTAAATTTTTTAAAATAAGTAATATAAAGAAATAAGTATATTTAATATGGATAAATGTAATTATCAAAGTAACAGAATATAAACATTCTTGAAATAGTAAATATTAATATTTGAAGAAACAGCTATATTAAAAACAAATTTAAAATACACGAAATAGTCTACAGCCATGCTATTCTGAACAAGTCCGATCCTGTCTGATCTCAAAAGCTAAGTCTGGTTAGTACCTGGATGGGAGACCACCTAGGAAGACCAGGTACTGTAGGTGTAAAAAATAAAAGGAAATAAGGGATTGTAAGCTGACAAGGTCCTTGCAATCTGTGAGGTCAGCCAAGGGTTGCCTCGCCTAAAAAAATAAAAAGAAAAAGAAAAAAAAGAAAATACATAAAATATACCGAAAAAAAAAACCAAAACCCAAATATAAGGAGCCAAATAATATCCTGAGCACCAAGGCTCTCAGGTTCCAAATGGTGCATTCTCAGAACAGGAACAGCTTGTCCTCTGACTAAGGGAACGGTTTAGATTTTTAAAAGCTGGATCCCAAGAGACCAAATGTTTCAGTACCTACCCCCGGAATAGAACCCCGGTCCCATCTCAAACAACAGAGACTCTTTTAAGGCTCAGACCTCAACCTAACCCCAGGCTGTACGTATGATAACGACGATATAAAAGTGGTGTAAGAATGCGGCACTCACCTCATGGGAAGACAGCGGCTGCGTGAAGGGGGCGCCAGACGGGGTGGTGACCTCGCTCACCCGGAGCATCGTCCTCACAATCTCGCTGCTGGTCTGGGTTTGAAAAGCGGACTGGCTTTCAGAATTTGCTCTGCTGCGCTGGCTTTGGCTAAATGCCAATGGCCACATCTGACAAATAAGTGAATGTCTCTGATGGCTACTGTCCCACCCACTTAGATATCACCTGGTCCATCCTGTTGGCGACTGCGCTGACGATGGCTTGGTCTCGGAAGTGCTGATGGAATCTGTCGAGGTTGGCCTGCCAATAAATCCCATCATCTGGAATGGGCTGGGGAGGAGAAAAGGATAGAGAAACGTCTAGATGCAGTGAGGAGCTGGGATTCAACTGGTCACCATTTCTTTTCTGACACGGAAGCAACAAATTGGTTGCAGAAAAATCACCCAGTCATGTGGATGGGTGCTACAACAAACCCGCACTCTCCAACATCAGATACTCTAAGCCCACTCCAGTCTTCCTCTATTTTATATTTTGACCCTCCTCGGGTCTCCCCAAATCTCTCATTTACTTCGCCTTTCTCAATCTTAGCCAATGACCTTGACTCTCATTTCAGAGAAAAAATAGAAGCCAGGAGGCCAGAATTCATTCAAATTTGTGTACATATCCCTACCGCATTTTCCTTTAAAAAAAAATAATTGTATTTTTACCACTTTTATCGCAGACCGGGAATGTTCCTCCTTTCACCTAAGGTTAGTTCCCACACCGGTATACTAGATCTCGCCCCGTCCTGCATTCTCAGGGTCCCAGCTCAAGCAGCCTTCCCTCCTCTGCTCCAAATCTTCAGCCTCTTTGCTGTCTTCTTCCCATCAGCCTTTACCTTGTCCAGATCTTTTTTACTCTTAAAGAATTCTTCTCCAACATTATGCCTTCTCTCCTTTCCATTTCTGTCTAAGCCAAGCTTCTCAAAGAGATGGCCATCCTAGCTGTATCCCCATCCACGATGTGTTTAACCCATTGCCACCATTAGACCGAGAGATGCCAAGGCCCCCAGGACCAGCTTGTTGCTAAGTTGAGAGAATACTGTCCAGTTCCGACCTTATTTGATCTTTTGAAGCATAAGGACGGGGTAGGACATTTTTTCCTTCCTAACTCTATGTGGCCCCTTGGATTTTGTGACACCATTCTTTCTTGGTGCTCCCCTAATCATTCTGGCTACTTTTCCTCAGTCTCCACAGATTCCTTTCCAGAAACCACCTGTAAATGCTGGTATCCCCGGGATTCTGTCCATAGCCCTCATTTATGTTCTACATATTCTGCTTAGGTGATTTTATCTGCTCTCAAGGCTTCAATTACTGATGTACTTCTGAATCTATTACATCATTCTAGAACTCCCTATGAAGCTCCAGATGCATAGACACAACTGCCATTTGCACCTGTTCCCCAAAACTGTTCTTTTCCAAAATTTCAGCTAACCCAATTTCTTAAGCTAGAGTAGTTGAGTATCATCCCTAACCCCTTGCTCTCCCTCACTGACCATCCAATTGCCAAGTTCTATTTATTCTTCATATTATCGATGTCTCCTTTACCCTGACTGCCATCATCACCTCACTGCAGGCTCTAACTGTGGCTCACCTGGATTACTACACTAGCCTCCTATTTTTCATTTTTCTTTTTAATAGAGTGGACGCTATAAAAAGAGTGATGCGTTTTCTGCTTTTAACCTTGTTCCTTTTGCATCATTCCCCGCAAAGAGCAGTACTTTTTTTAAAAAATATTTTTGGGGTCACAATTCCCTTGACTCTGAAGAAGCCTATGGAGTGCTCTACAGAAAAATGCACATGCACAAATACAGCTGGATTCTCTGAAAACCCTCCATGGAATTGTACAAGTTGTGAACCACTGTACTCCAGTAACCTTTCTAAAATACAAATCTAGCCATTTCATTCACCTGCTTAAAATCCATCAAGGACTACCTTGGCCTTCAGGATAAAGCCCAAACCTCTTAGTCAGTCAAGAAATAATTTTATTGATAGCTTGCTACTATTCCAGGTGCCAGGGTCAAGATATTGCCCTGGAGCAGTGTATGGTCTATTGGGAGTACAAGGACAAACGTGTACACAAATAATAAATAATTTCACCTACTTATAAATGCTATGAAGATGAAATGGGAAAATGTGGTAGTGACTGGAGTAGAGGGTGGGCAATGGTGCTCAAACTGTTAGAAAATGGCATTTGAAAAAAATATTTTTAAAAATTAAAAAAGAAAATAGCATTCGAGCTGAGAGCTGAACGATGAAAAAGAGGCAAATACATGAAGGTCTGGGACAAGCCTTTAAAGCAGAAGGATGACCAAGGGGCGAGTCTGAAGACTGGGAAGAGTTCGATGTTTGAGGAACGGAAAGAAAGAAGCCGGGACACAGTGAACGAGAGGGACAGGGGAACGGGCTGGCGCTGGAGAGCTTCGTCTCCAGCACGTCCCGGAAAGACCCGGCTCACGTAAGGCTTAACAACCCGCAGTCAAGACTTGCGTTTCTTCTAAGACAAATGGGACGCTATTAAAGGAGTTTGAACGAGCGATGTGTTGGGATAGAAAAAAAAAAAATTAACTTAGAAAGTCATTTTGGCTCTAAATAGATAAGAAGGCAGGTAGAGAGACCATTTGCGAGAGTGTTGGCGAAGTGCTGACTAGAGATGACAGTGGTTTAGGCTCCGGTGACAGCAGTGGAGATGGTGAGAAATAGCTGGAGTTGAGGTAATTTTGGAAAGAAGTTTTACTGTGAGACCGGATGGTTCCTAGGACTTTGGACTAAGCAAATGGTGGTGTCCTAGGTGGTTGACTTCGGTGGTGTCCTTCAGTAAGATGAGGAAAGGTGAGGAGGCAGCAGATATTTGGGTGGGGGACAACAATTCTTCTGTTTTGGCCATATTGACTTTGAGATTCTTATTAGACATCTTTATAGGGATGCTGAGAAGGCACTTGACTGTAAGAGCTCAGGCCTATACATATCTCTCTCTAGACTCATTTCTCACCACTGGCTCCCATGAGGCTCTATGTTCCAGCCATACTGAATAACACAAATTTTTTCACCTTCGGCCCCCTTCTGTCTAATGATGGATGGAAGTTAAGCCTCAGAAGGGAGACAGCAATGGAATTCACGCCTCGTTAGTCTATTCCTGGCCAGTATTTAACAAAGTTCACAGTCCCTGGTCCCTTGGTCCCTAGGGGCTCATCTCACTGCTCTTTCTGGCTTGCTTCAGGGTGAGGACTCCTAACCAGGAAGCCCTGTTACCTCTTTGTTGTCTGTGGTATGTTTTGGTCTCTTGGCCTTGGGCTCCCCGGTTGCATCGTCCTCAGACGATCTCCTCCTTTTACCTTTTCCTGCCAAATAAAACAATTGTACAGTTAGGCTCTAACTCATATGATCACAAGACATGATCACACATGAGAGCAGGTGTCTCCCCATTCCAAGAACATCTGTAGCTGCCTCTAGGTTGGAGCTGCTGAGGAGACGGAGTAGCTATAAGAAAGTCAAGTAAACGATGAAGTCATCTGAAACTCAACATGTTTGAAAAGAAATTCATGATCTTTTGCCCTCAAACTGCCCCTGCTCCAGTGTATCCTTTCACAGTGAATGCACAGTGCCATCATCCCCCCACACGGGCAAGTCAGAAACACAGATGTCATTCCCGATACCTCTGTCTCCCTCACCCCTTGGACATCTTTTGCTGGTTTGTCTACATTTACCTTTGCCCTATCCTTTCTGCACACAGAAAAATATTTTAAAAATGCAAGTTGATCACATGTCACTTCCTTGCTTAAAATTCCCTTCGTGATTTTCTTTTGCTCTTAGGATAAAAACCAGATGCTCTGTGAGGTCTTACGTGATCTAACCCCTGCTTATCTCCCTAACCTTATCTCATGGCTCTCTCTCCTTTGCTCACTATGCTTTAACTAAGTGACCTGCTTTTACTTCCTCAAATACTCTATTTTTATTCTTACTACATACTATTTCTTTTACTAAAAATGCTTATTCTCTGTACCTCTTCATACCTTACCTAACTGGTTGGATCCTACTTTTGCTTTAAATCTTAGCTCACGTGCCACTTTCTCGAAGAAGCACATGCCCCAAGTCCCCAGATAAGTCTGGACCCATGTTATATATTTGCAGAATACTTCACAGTTTTCCTTCATAGTACTTAGCACAGTTTGTTATACATCTACATGGTTGATTAATGTTATGTTTCTTATACTAGACTTAAGCCTCATAAAGGTAGGGACCATGTTGGTTTTTCATTATTTTATACCAAAGTATCTGGCACAGAGTAAATGCATGTGACTGCTTGATTCATTCATTCATTCATTCATTCAACAATCATTGAGGAAGAATCTATAACTAGAGCAAGTCACAATTCCAGGGGTCAAAATTCCTTACCTATCAAGCTCAGTTTAGGAACCAGGTACATGTCCTTTTCATTGATGACAAGAGTAGGGGCTGGTGGTGGTGGCCCAGGGTCTGAATTCTCAGTGGCAGGCACCATCGGGCAACGCTGCACAAAGTGTGTGTCTGCTAGTCGCATAAATGTGTTTGACACCTCAGCATAGTCCATGGTCTTGCCATCTGTACGACAGAAGTAAAGAGGCAGGTGAGATGGCCTGATAGCTGAGGGTCCGCTCCTGCAGCCAGCCAATCTCTTTTGCTAACAGCTGTGGATATGGTACTAACCCTCCATAGTCTCTGTGAGCCGGTCTGCCACTTTCTTTACGACAGCTGACATTGTCATTTTGCCATTCAACAGCAGCTCCTCCACAATCAGCTCTCCGGTGTCACTGTACAGTGTTTTGGCAATGTAGATATACCGGGGGTACCTGAGCATTCGCAATACTCGGCTGCATTGGGCTTCATACTCCACCACGCCACGTTTGTGCACTTGATAGATCACCAGGTTATGTTGGATGAGGACACACAGGGCCTTCTTTACCTAGATAAGACCCAAAAGAAAGAGGAAATATCCAAAGACAGCTCATTACTGCGGGCAAGTTTTGTCCAACAGTTTATTAAGCATCGGGAGATAGCCAGATAATTTCTGTGCTGCTTTCCTTCCTCCATTGGACTAGCTAGTAAGAATCACATGTTAATGGAAGAAATCAGGAAGATTCTTTGCTATGATGTTCATACTTCCTCTGATCTGCATCTTTCAAGGTACAATTAATTTCCCCTCTATTCTCATTCCATTAAAGGTAGTACTGAGATTAATAGGCTCTATATGAATGAATGAGGTATGGCAAAGAAAGAGCAAAGATCTGCCGAAGAGCCATGCTGGGCCAGGAACACTTTGAGAAGCAGAATCTTGGGGCCTAAGTCTCATCCTCTTTTCCCCAAATAACATTGTTCTGATCCTACAGCAGGCTTCCTCCCTTTCCACTTCATGAGGTGGGGAGTAACAATATTCAAAGATAGGTAATAGAGATTAATAAAATGAAAGCAAATTAATATCATCCAAATATACCTGATCTAATGATGTCCCTGTGTCATGGGCAATTACTCTTAGTGACTGGCTGCCATTTCTGATTAGGTGGACTCCAATTTTCTCCACGATCTCTCCAAAATGCTCTTGCAGCAACAAAGAGCACAGTTTAATTTCTGCTTGAGTCATGGTACTGAGGAGTCTCAGAGCTGGGAAAGAAGAAGACTGTATGATAGAAAGTTTTTCTTTTCTGTTGAGATTAGAGCTGCTGAGTACAAATTCATGTACTCTTTGGAGGGCAATTTGACATTACATATCAAAACCTTAAAATCTTGCATACCTTCCACCTAATAACTTCGTTGTGGATACTATGCTCTAAGGAAATAATAAAAAGATATCACTGTAGTTCTCTTTAGAATACCGATATCCTAGAAACAACGTAAGGTTTAACGACAAGTAATTAATAACTATGGTATACCCACACAATATACTATGTACTAGTATTGAAAATTGTTCATTAAGTGAAAGAAGCAGGCTACAAAGCCATAAGTAGAAAAAAAATGTATGCATTGAAAAAAAGACTGGAAGACTGACCATACATCACTTTATCTTTATGGGATTGTGTATGATTCTAAGTTCCTTTAAAGATTAGGTGTAGATGGTTTTGCAATGTCACAGACCTTAAAGTCTATTCTTTATTGTTTGGAAGAATTAAGGCCAAATCACAGGCCACTGGGAGTGAACAGGCAGTCATTCCCAGTCCATAAAGGAAATGACAACTTAGAAAAAGAAATTGAGAGATCAAGGAGAGCTTCACCAACAGGATGTTTCAAATAGGAAATGAAGCGTGTTGTCTGCAGGGCAGTATTTAATTCTGAAATTTCTACTTATTAACAAAGTAGATACAAACAGAAACAGCTTGACTGACTATATAATCACGTCCTTATTATCATAAGTGCTACCAAACGTTTGTTCATTTATTTCCCCTAATTCCTCAGAAGCAAGTCTTTGCCTCTCAGCCTCAGTATCCCAATCCACATGTTTTCGGGGAAGCATCCCCAGACCCTTTGCCATCCTCGAAAGGATCTGCAAGGAACTTGGCTCCTGGCTCTTTACTCCCTTCACGTAGGTTCCCGTTCGGGACTTGGGGCCTTGGTCCAGAGAGACAGGGCTGCTCGTTCAGATAGCATTTTCCACTAACCTCGGGGTCAATGCAACCTAATGCCACCGAAGTCCCCACAGCGGCTTCGCGCGGCTCTGGCTACCGCTGGGGCAGACGAGGAGCTCTCCGCCCTTTCCTGCAGGAGGACGGACACCGAGGCGGACCCGGAAACGGGGAACACGTGAGCCGCTCTAGCCGAGAGTTTCAGTGGTTTCCGGGGGCGCTCTCTCTCCCTTCTCGTTGGTAGGTTGGAGGACCGGCGAGGGGCTGTTGGAGGAGCCGGCGGGCGGACTCTCCTTCCTGTGCCTCTTTGGTGCTGGAGGCGGGCCTTGGGGTCGCCGTCCGCTCCGCCGCCTCCCTGGGCCGGGCCGACTCACGTGACTAACGCGGGCTCCAGAACGGCCGGCCGCACTGAGGAAGCGGCGGCAGAGGCGGCGACCGCGGCCGGGAGGTAGCGGCCCGGCGAAGGACAGGCCGGCTGCCCTCTCGGACCGCCGCGGCGGAAGAGAAAAATGGCGGAGGCCTCGGCGGCCGGGGCGGGCTCAGGCGCCGCTGTCGCCGCGCACCGGTTTTTCTGCCACTTTTGCAAGGGCGAGGTCAGCCCCAAATTACCGGTAAGAGCCCCCTTGGCCCCTGCGCTCGGCGTCGGCGTGGATTCCTCGCCCCGAATGGGTCTTAAGCTTCCCGCACACCCCTGAAATCGGCCTCCCAAATACTGCTCGCTGCCTGGCGTTCCGGCCCTGCCCCCGTCACTCCCGCCCAGCCTTTCCCCTCCCCCTCGGATGCTCCGGCGCGCCCCTCACTCCCTCTCCTTTTTTACCTGGTCCCCTCCACCTATTTTTTTTTTTTTCCCTTAGCAAGATCTCCCCTGACAACTCCTCAATTTTCTTGCACTCTTCACCTTGTCTCCTTCCCACGATGACCTCTGTTCCTCCCCCCCCTCCCATCTTGCATTTCCTTTTCCACTTTTCACCAGATCCCCACCCTCCCATCCTTAGTGAGGCAAAATCGCGGGTGGGTGAGGATGACCCCTATTCAGTTGTCTCTGGGGAAGGATGCACGGAAAGAAGAGGGTTGGAAGGTAATCGGGGCGGAGGAGGATTTTTCTATTCCATGGTTTCCCGGCTTCTTGTGAAAGTGAAAACAGCAGTGTCCTAACGACTGGCGGACTCACTGCGCTTCCTGTCACTATCGAAGGAAATGACTTTAGGAAGAAGGCAGGATGTGTTTCAACTTGGTTATTTTGGTTGTCACGCTGCCAGGGTTTTTTAGCACCGTCTCCCTTACCCGCCCCACCCCCCCACCCGCATTCTGTCTCTTCACTTCATGAAAAGATCCAGGACAGAATGCTGGGGACTGCATCCTCTGACATAAATTGGTTTTCACCATTTTCTGCCAGAGTGTTAGCCCCTAGGGAGGTAGTGCTGTGGTCGTGAAGAAAGCGCTTTTGCAGCGGGCTAGCTAAACCCAGAAGTGGGTCGTGTTAGAGCTACTGCATGGAGAGCCACCCTGGTGAATGTTAATCTTTTCGTCAACTCTTTCTAGAATTAGTTCTGGATCTTTTCCTTAGAGGTATCCAGATTCAATCTTAAGACGACAGGGTGGCTGCCTAACAACTTCGCTCTATAATGCCTCAGATAAAATCTATAAGAGAGCCTACTAAAGTGTGTCTGAACGTCGTATGTCATAGAAACACAAATGGCGTCTCTGTAAGCACCTAAGCATTTTAACCTTTTCACCGAAAAGTTGTGCTATTTAGGTTTTTATGGCATTTTCTTTCCCTTTTATTAACCCCAACTTCATAGCTAGTTTCATCTTGTTAGAAATTTTACCTTCTGTGGCCTAGGCCTAAAGTTTTGTTTTTTTGTTTTAACGAAAGGATTTCTTAGGCCATTGCTAGCCAAAAAAGAAGACGGGTCTAGGGGCACGGAGTCTAAATCACCAGCGGGGGAGGAAGGACAATGTGCCCATGGTCTCCAGAGTTTGCAAGTATCTTTATACATCAGGTAGTGGGAAGGGGTTAGAAAGGTGTAAGCTGTTTGAAAGTATTTGCATTACATTAGCTATAAGCAAAGGGGTGGGAGAAAGTGAAGCGGGGCCAGCTCTGGGATAGGTGCAGAGTCCACAAAAAGAAACGTCCCCTCCTGTGTGGGTTGGCTGTGGGCAGCAGTCCGGAAAGCCTACGTGTAAACACGAAGCAGGGATCAGAGTTCGCTGGTGCCTGGCTGGGATAATCCGCGGAAATAGCCACCTGGAAATTAATCTGAAATTCCATCAGTAGAAGGAATGTGGGCAGTCTCTTGTCAGAGCTGGTCCACGGCTGTTAACAGGCTAACTGTTCTGTGTCTTTCCCCTCTCTCCCCTCTAATTTTAACTGAGAACCTCTCAGAATTTTCTTCTTGTCAGTCTACATGTAAACTTAGTTTTGCCTGCACTTTTTGCCATATTTCAGTGCTGGGGAACATCAGACCCTTCAGAAGTCTTTCACCGCAGGGAGGGAGTGTGGAATTTGTCCAGTGTGTGTGTGACCAGTGACATGTTGTTAAATGTGATGCCTTGTTGAATGTTGTGCCTTTAGGTCTTCTGGTCATTCACTTACTTGTCTGTAAGGGTGAGAAAACAGTCTAACTTTCCACAACTTATATCTTTTTTGTTTTTTTGACTAGTTGAAGTCCTCACTACAGAATGCTCTTGAAAAGGGTCATATGAAAGACTTTTTTGGGTGTTTTTCTAAAACTTAGTTTGATGCCCAGAGGTGAAATTATTGATTTTTTAGTCTGATTTGTTTTCTGTGATGCCAGATTTGTAAATTGAGGCCTAACACATATGGAACGGAATACATAGGTAAAAGGTTCTTTGCTGGATGAAGGTACAACCGAGGAATATGTGGTTTCTGCCCTTAAGGACCTCACAATTTTGTTGGAAAGACAAGACAAACATGGAAAAGTTAACAGCGTAAGGTGAATGAGGGTGGATGATACGCGCTTTAGAATTTAGAGAGGGTG